TAATGTCAGAACCCTTCCTCGTGCTATATAAAGAAATACATTACATTGGATTGAAGACGTAAATGTGTGTTTTTAAATACACATTAGAAGGTTTAGGAACATAAGGCAGGAAACCCAAGTCTTTTCAGTAAAGATTGCCCAGGCCAACGATAGTCAAGTTTTTACATCTGATGACATTAAAAAATGACATCTTTGTGCTGGTGAGATTATAGAGAAAGAGACCCTTTCCTATTGTTGCCATTGGGGATATAATGGCTACAGCCAGCTGCTTTGGAAAGAAACATGACAATATTAATAAAAATTTGAAATGCACACCCTACCCCTCACCAGTTCTGCTTTTGTGAATATATCTTTTCAGAGATAAAGTGGCCGCATACAGGAGCTTGTGTATAAGGACATTTATTGCAGCCTTGTTTTTCGTTTGCAGAAACTGGAAGTCATCTCTCAGGAGGTGCATGGTTATATAAATTGTGGTAGAGTTTGTTATGGAATATAATCGTGGTGAAAATAATTCATTGCATTTAATTGTACTGAGTTTTTTCATCTTTGTTCACTAGGAAAAAAGGAAGCCATAGAGTCTTGTAATAATATCCCATCAGTTTGTTTGTTTATTAAGTGAGAAAAAGGGGAGAAAACCCTTATATTTGTGTCTGTGTCTGTGTGTATATTTTTTAAGCATTCAGAAAGTTCTGAGATTTCACTCAAGATGATCACCTTTGCTTATTTCAAGGAGATGGGATTAGAGAAGAGGAAGGGAAATAATTTTTGTCTTTCTACGTCTTAGGATAATGTCAGAATTATTTTTGTAATTTTATTAACAAATTTAATTAGAATTTTTTAAAAATATATTTTATTGATTTTTTTACAGAGAGGAAGGGAGAGGGATAGAGAGTTAGAAACATTGATGAGAGAGAAACATCGATCAGCTGCCACCTGCACATTCCCTACTGGGGATGTGTCCACAACCAAGGTACATGCCCTTGACCGGAATCGAACCTGGGACCTTTCAGTCCGCCGGCCGATGCTCTATCCCAGTGATGGTGAACCTTTTGAGCTCGGCGTGTCAGCATTTTGAAAAACCCTAACTTAACTCTGGTGCCGTGTCACATATAGAAATTTTTTGATATTTGCAACCATAGTAAAACAAAGATTTATATTTTTGATATTTATTTTATATATTTAAATGCCATTAATCAACCAAAAAAAATGAGTTCGCGTGTCACCTCTGACACGCATATCATAGGTTCGCCATCACTGCTCTATCCACTGAGCCAAACCGGTTAGGGCTAATTAGAATTTTAAAAGTGGGATTAGTACTACACAGTATGTGTAGAATAGTATAAAAGAACATACCACTTCCCCCTCTAGCCTGGCACTATAATTCATGGCTCGTATTACATGGCTTTACTATTGCAGTTATAGCTCATTGTATTTTATGTGCCTGGCACAGGGCCAGCGCTGAGTATGTTTTGAAGGAAAGAAAAAGACTTGTTCGAAGAGACTTCACTACATGCGGTGAGCATTTTACTGAGCACTAACTGTGTGCCCAGCCCAACGCTGGGACCTGGGTATACAACAGATTCGCTGACGCTGGGGACCGTGCACTGCAAAAGGCCCAGGAGAGAATGACTAGCAGGTGTGCCCAGGAGGTTACACTTGCATTTGACCTTGAAAGAAGCAGTGGCGAGAAGATGGGGCTTAGAATCAAATGAAGCTAAAGTCTAATCTGGCCTCACCATTGAGTTTCTCTTTTTTATCTATAAAACTGCCTGAAAGGTGTGTGGGGATATTCACAGGGACAGGTGCCACTACACGGGCACTGCTGACCAACGGCGTCATAATTACAGTCACAGAATCACAGACTAGCCGTTGTCGCCCTATTACTGGAAAAGGAAGTTCCCGTGTAGTTACTGCTGCAGGGTTAATGCTGGGACGTGTGTGTGAAAGCCCTGACGGAACATGTCACATGACTAGTGCAGGGGGCTCATCTCCCCAGAGCAGTTGAAATCCTGACAGAGTGGCCCTTTCTGGTTTGGTTGGTAAGACAATATTATTTTGTCCTTTTTTCAGATCTGAAAGGAGTCCCCTAGCTCTTAGAATTATCTTACCTTCTGCAACAATCCCAGGAATGCCAGAACTTGCGTACAAATACTTGAAAAGCACGGATCTCCACAATTGGCGACTCAGATCTCTCCATCCCCACCTACTTTCTCCCCAGCCCCCACTTGACCAACCTCCCACAAGGCCCCTGGCAGTTGGATGTAGTGGGCATCTTAAAACAGCTCTGTCCTGCTCTCTGGAATGCCCTGAGCTGCTCTGGCCACTTCCTGCCTCCCATCCAGTCACACCCATGTCTGTGACAGCACTTCCCACCCTGCAGCCCCACCAAAGCCCTGTCTTTTCCTCTTCTTTGCTAAACCCCTGAATTTACATTCCATTCAAATTGCTTACTGTGCTCTGTAATCCTCCCCCCTTCCGCCCTGGGCTCCCTCTTCTCTTCACCAGCATCCTGGATCCTTGCCCTCACGGAGCCTGTTGGAGACCTGCTTGGTAAACCTTAACTTTGTACAGAGGGATGTGTGTGTCTGTATCATCTTCCCAGTGAATTGTCGTTCTTAGATTTATGATGCAGCCCGTAAGAAAAATCCTTAAAATGTGAGGCATAAGTGGCTATGCTGGTTGATGTTAGATACATCTCTCTGTCAGCATAGGTGTAGAGGGAATGATGTCTGATATACATGCCAGGCCCTGTTCTAAGCAACTTACATTTAATTCCCAACATTTCTACCCTCAATAGGATTATTAGGATTATTTCAAGATCTAGTTCACTGAATTAGCTCTTGTATTTTAAAATATGTTTGCACTAGGAAGTTTTATATAGATATGTTGTACATACATATGTGGTTAATGTGTACACACACGCATGTCCATAGATACACATATAGATATTGACTGTATGGTTATTCAGTTGTGGAATTAGCAGAATGTACAGGCTCCCTGCCCTAGCCTGTGCTTACATACCCAGTCTCCCCTTCTGCTGCTCTCAGACCACATTTATGTTTCATCTGCCCAGGAAGCGTGATTCTCCCCGTGCAGAGTTCTGGGGAGGTTCTCTGTGATGCTGTGAAAGGCATTGGGTCAGAAAGGGCTCTTAACTGGTTGGTAGGCACATGGGTCTTCGGTTTTCCTTTGAAATATTTTATCATTTCAAGCAAACACACCAAAAACCTGATACTTTATTGACCACGGAGACCCTTCTGGTGGAAGCAGCTGGCAGGCAGGTGGCCGGTTCTTCTCTGTCAGGTGTCGGTGGGAGTCTCTGCAAGCGGAAACGCTTCGGCCTCCAGCAGAAGGTGTCGTGGTAGCGGCGGCTCCAGAGAGAGATCCACCACGGGCGCCCGTCTGCCCAGCCCATGTGGCCTTTCCTTGGTGTGTTTCTGAGCCTCTTCTCTGAGTGAATGCCGGCAGCAAGCAGGGCTGCGTCTTCTCTGTACTGTCTCAGCCCGAAATGCTGACCTCCACTGCAGGCGCCGTGAATGTCTAATGTGCTGCTGATCGGGAGGCTGCGGCCGCGTTCCATTCCCCGGGCGGCCTGACACTTGTCCTCTGCTGTGCTGAGCCTGCCTCCCCAGCACAGACCGTGTTCCGCTTCTCCAGTGCCCGTTGCCCTCACGCTGTGATTGACGGGGGTCTTCGAGAATGAAATATTTTTTAAAAAATTTTTATTGATTTTAGAGAGGAAGGAGGGAGAGGGTAAAGAGATAGAAACATCAGTAAGAGAGAGGCATTGATCAGCTGCCTCCTGCATCCCCTACTGGGGATTGAGCTGGCAACCCGGGCATGTGTCCTGACCGGGTATCGAACTGGGTATCGAACTGGGGACCTCTTGGTTCATGGGTGGATGCTCAGGCACTGAGCCACACCGGCTGGATGAGAGTGAAATACTTTAAAATTCCATCTCGATTATCGAACAACCTAGGAGGCTTAAGAAGGGAATGTGTCTTAAATTCCTGAAAAGGAAATCAGCAAATCCAAGCCACCGGGCGCTTCCTGAGCCTCCCACGGAAAACCCGCGGTGCTGGCTGTTGGGCGGGGACGCAGAGGTGAGCCAGAGGCCATCCTGCCTCTCTGGTTGGTGGGGGGGCTGGAAAGAGCTCTACTCACACAAACATGATACAACACGGCAGGAAACACCACCGAGGAGGCTCAGGGGATCACGGGCAAGGAAGGCTCATGGCCCACTCAGGGAAAGGCTTTATAACGAGAAAGGTGTTGAATTTATAAGCCTTTAAAGATAGGGTCTTAGTAGTTAGGATTTTGTTAGGTACATATTTGTTCATTTATTCATTCAGTAGGCATTACACATCTCCCGTGGGCCTCTATACAAATCCACGCCTCCCTGTCCTCGCGGCAGGAGGAGAGACGTGGAGAGTGAGCGTGGCGTCTGGAGCGCTCCACGGGCACGTGCTGCCATCACCTCGCGCACAGCCCTGGGCCGTGCCAGCCCCTCCCACGCTGCAGGACTCCTTCCCGCAGGTGCCGGGTGGACAGTCCCTAGCACGTCACTTACCAGTGCTGCCCCTCAGGGCCAGCGCTCAGAAAACATGAAAGTAACATTAGTTGCAGGGAGATTCATGTTAGAACACGAGGGCTTGGCTTTGGCATTCCAGGGCTGATTTTTCTAAGCAGAATTTTCTCATTTCCTGATCATCGTAGTTTCTTAATTGCTTGAAAGTATGATGATTACTTGACCCCTCAACCTGTGGGGAGTCCATGGGTTGATGGGGATAGAAGTGAACTAAACGCTGTGATGGCGAAAGGGAGACCTCCTTCCATTGTGAGAACACTCAGTGCCCGCTAACCACCTCCTGGACGTGTGCGGTAAAAATAGACGGCGTTTCTCCCTGCTGCTGGGAGTTTCCAGTGATCGATCAATGTTCACAACAGCTCGGTTCTGTGGCAAACAACAGCTCAGGCTCCTCTGTCTTCTTCTTTTTCAGACCATGTACAAAATGAAGAAAACTATGCCCAAGTTCTGGATAAGTTCGGGAGTAATTTTTTAAGTCGAGACAACCCAGATCTTGGCACCGCTTTCGTCAAATTTTCTACTCTTACAAAGGAACTGTCCACCCTGCTGAAAAATCTGGTAAGCCATTTCATAAGTGATTTTTTTCTTATTAATTAGAGCCAAACAGCTTTTGAGTCCTAAGTATGGAGTCACAAGTAAAGAAATGCCATGGTGAGACTCCTGGAATTTGTACCTCCCGCCCAGCTGATAGCGGGTAGATTTGTAGAGTTGGAGAGAAGCAGGTTGACCTGAATTCCTTCCACCTTCTACCACTGTTTTGTCTCTGTCTCGGATGACTTTTAGCAGCTTTTGCCTTTTCATTGGTTGAAAGAGTGATGACGCTGTCTGTGTCGGACACACACGTTCCATCTCACGTGTGTGCAGGCGACCATGCATTTCGATCCCTGATTTACAAATTAATTAACCTCTCCCAGTGCCCCTCATCCTTATAACCCGCTACCAAGAAAAAGATTTTGAGGTTCAGGGAATCTGGGGTTTCCGAAGCATCCCTAAGGCCTGGGCACTGCAGCTGCTGACCCTGGGAGGAGACACGGAGTTGGGGGTGGGGACCTGGTCACCAGGCGGTACTGTCTGGGCACCCCCAGGTTGTGCCCACCAGCCTCACACTGTGCCACACTGAGAAAGGTCCGCTCTGTGAACTGATTCAATCGGGTCTCATTTCTCCGGAGTCCCGAGAGGCAGGAGCACAGGGAGGTTGGAAGGTGTGCTTTCCCCAGCCTTTTCCGGAGGAGGAGGAGGAGGAGGAGGAGGAGGAGGAGGAGGAGGAGGAGGAGGAGGAGCTGGCGCTGTGTCTGTCCTTTCCCTCCCCCGTCTCTCTCTAGTGCGCCTTGGCCTCCTGTAAGGATCCAGATCTCACACTCAATGCCTTGACCCCGATAGGCACTGTGGCCTCACGAGAGAATCTTGGGAAAATGAAACCTTTTCTGTAGAACGTTAACCCGAATAGTTGACACATCAGAATATTTCTCCCCTATTGTGCTGGATAAATATACGTGTGTATGTATCTGCCTTCCTGCAGTGTAACTCTAATTGTGATTTAGGCCATTGACTTAGTCTTAAAGTGACAATGAACCTTAAAGAAAAGAAAAGTTGAAGATAGAATATGTCTTATTTTTAAAAACTCTCAAAGGATCATTTTGATCTTAGCACATACGTATTTCTATCCTTTGGGGTTTTTTGATAAATTCATGATATTCCTGTAAATCTTACATTATTTCAGTCTCTATTCAGAAGGGCCCTCTCATTTCTCCTTCCTCTGGGCTTCACCTGCCTCTTTGCTGGTGGCATAGCTCAAAGGGAGGTGCAGTGGGAAGAAAGGAAGTGACAGCAGACTGACGATTCCCTTTGGTGGTAACTGGTGAGGGCTGGCTGGGCAGGAAGCTCTGTTTTCCCCAGGGTCACTCTTTTCCCAGGGATATCTCCCCAACCTCTCATTTCCAGGAGACCCCATCTGCTTGGCTTCAGCCAGGAGTCATCGCTTCCAGGTTTCCCGGACCAGTCCATTCCCACTCTTCCCCCCACGGCAGGTCCCTTCGCGCTGTGTGCATCTGCCATCCACACGAGCCAAAATCCCAACCTCACTTCTCTGCTGTTCCTGCACCAGCCGTCTGTAGTCTCTCTCCCTTTCGCTGGGATTTCTCCCTCTAGTCAGAGCCCTCTCTGTGGTCAGCATCTCGCGAAGGTGAAGTGGTGAGCTCTTTCCTCCCAGAAGTGGCCTGTGGAGTGTGGCTGGGGGATGCCGCCTCTCAGTGGGGAGAAGCCACAGGATTGTGGGCATGATCTGGTTCATCGATGTTGTTTACAAGGTTTTGGTGTCAAGGTTTTAAGTGCATGGCCTTTGGTTGGGGGTATATGCTAGGTGACCTTAGCATCTTAAAACATTATCAATACTCCTTTCGTTGGCTTACCAGTCTCGCTGAACCCACCCTGCCTCCAGTTAAGGATGCCTTGCTAGTCAGAGCCTAGTGCGGACACAGCATTGTTTGTTTTACTGAAGCAGAGGCTATTCCTTGTTTCCAGGCCTTGTATCTTCTGGTTTTCTGCTTTGAATGCCCTTTTGTAGTTAATGTATTGATGAATGAGGCTTTCTTTACAATCAGCGTCCTTGACTTTAAAAAAAACAAAAGGAAAACTAAAGAACAAAAAGAAAGGATGCTGTTGAGTTTTAGCTGTTTCCAAGTATGTTTTGTTATTCATGCAATTAATACAATATGGAAATTATTTCCCATCCTTCCTTGAACCTTTTCAAGGAAAGCAGTGAGGCCATTGCCTGGGCTGCTCTGTTCCCAGTGTCGGGCCGGCATGGCCTGCGATGCTGGCAAGGCCGGGAGTCAGCCCATTGCCTCCGTTCAATCACCAAACCACAGAGCGGGGCGGGGAAGGAGTACCCGTGGGTGGAATAGATTCTCCATAGGCAGAGGGAAACGACTGGCCCCAAGAGCTCCCGTGGAGCAGTAGTTTTAGAAAATATATGTGAACCCTGTTTGAGATTAGTAGGCAGGGCCCAGAAGGACCCTCTGCCTCTGGCTCTGTGGTCCCTGAGCCTCTGCAGAGCAGAGCTTGCCTAAGAGCCCGAGCGCCCCCAGCAGCTGGAGGGCGGCGTTGCTTCAGAGCCCGTGAAGCCCAGCGCAGATTTCTCCATCAGCCTGGCATTTCCTGTTTGCAGTCTCTGGCTGCAGGGCATTGTGGTTTGGGTTGAGGATGCTTTTATCTTTTTTTCTTCTTCTTTTCTTCCCCCCCAAAGAGAAGAGCTGGAAATGCACAGGCTGGATGTAGATGGCTGGCAGATTATTTCTCAAGTTCTTTGAAACACTGAAAACTGCCGAGAGCTTGGGTATACTCAGCGGTGAATTGGCAGCCACTGGGTGCCCTGGGCTTAAGAAACCCCCCTCTTTTCGCAGAATGGCGATGCATCATTGGGGGGTCAGTGACCCCAGACACCCCTCGTGTCCTGGTGCGGCACTGCCCGCTCGTGTTGCGGGTTGCGGGACAGTCTCTGGAAAGCCGTCCAGCCCTGCGGGTGGAGGCGGTGAAGAGGGAGGTTTTCCTTTCCCTTCTGTTATAAACGAACATGTTCCACATACAAGTTTCAGAAATAGGGAGTAAATTAAATAAGAAAGTAAAGATCATCGTGTCATTCTAACTTCTAACTAATGTCCTCTGAAGCAATTTTATACATTTATACACACAGACACTGGGTGTACCTAGCGTCCAGTCCACAGTCTCTTATCCAAAGCCCTTGGGGTAGGATGTTTCAAAATTCAGAATTCTACAGATCTCAGAAGGTGACGGATTGCATGTTACGTTACACACACACACACACACACACACACACACACACACACACTCACACTGGTGACTTCCTAGGGCCTAGGCCCTCATAATTCAGCGCAGTTTTACCTCTGCAGTGAAATGCGTGAATATTTGCATAAAGTGGGATAAAGACTGGACTGAAGAGCACCACCTACGATAAAGGGACCTTTCGGGTTCAGAGACCTTTCCTGGCTTCCCCGACCCTGGTTGTCTGGGAAGCGATGTGAATTCCTTTGAGAAAGGCTGGTGTAGGTGGTGTGCTGGGTCAGGTGATCCATTTTACTTCTTTGTTTGTTTCCATCTTATTCCATTTCTCGCCTACACTTCCAGAATTTATTTCTTATTTGCATTTCAATATGGAATGTCTGATATTGAGGCTGGTTGCTTCTTTACAGGTGCCTCTTTATTTTTTTTATTACTCCATTTGGTCCCTTTAGGTTTAAACATGAAGGAACGGCCTACTCATTCCGTCTCCGACGAGTGGGTCACTACATCTTCCACTAGAAAGAATGGGCCCTTCTCTTGACTGGTTGCCCAACCGTGTTGAGCAATTGGAAGCGCAGAGAGTAGCAGAAACCCCACGACGTTGAAGTCAGATAAAGCGGAGGTCAGGTCTCTGCCCACCATTCTCCAGCGAGGTCACAGAGGCAGACTCACTCGCTCACTCGCACATTCATCCAGAAAACAGGGATATTAGAGAGGCCTCAGGGGCGAGAGACCCCTGGGCTGAGCCACAGATAATGAGTAGATGCTTATGAAACTATTCTCTTGGGCTTTTAGAGGCTCTTTTCCTTAAATAGGAACATTGAACAGCATTCTGCATTGATCGTTAGATACTATACTTCGGTACTTTAAACATTAGAAGAGACTTTGCAGATTCTGGCCCTGGCTCAGCCAGCATTTAACTACGGGATAGCTCTGCTCCAGGCTCTCTGCTGAGCTGACTGTCACATTCTGTCGAAGAGATTGCTGCTACAGAATATGGTCATAGTTTACACGGACGCGCCAGTTAATGTCATAGGGAAGATGGGCATGGGTATAGGCCCAGATTCCTACGCTTCCTGCTTTTCGCCGCCCACACGTAGAGGAAACTTACTTGGTTTCCTGGCATCACAGGCGTATGGTCGAAGGAGGTTTTTCTTCTGCATGGGTGGCCTTGAGATACAGCAAGTGATGGTGGCTTCCACAGCCACCATTTAGATAAATTCTTTGAATTCTAAAATATTCAATGAGGATCGAGTGAAGTGAGACTTCAAAATATGAAGACCTGGCCCAGCACGGGAGGACCGTGCAGACAAAGGCAGCACAGAAGTCTGCTTTCTTACCCGTTAAATGAAGACACGTCTACTGTGAGGTGTTGCTTTCTCCCAGTACGTGGCAAGCCTGTGCGCTCATTGATTTAATTTATTACGTTTTTAACTTGTGTCTTGGAGGTGCTTCCTAAGTAAAAGCTTATTGTTGTAAAACGTATAGTGTGATAGAGATGTTCAGTGAAGGCAAGGAAAATGTGATTTGAAGCGTGGTTTTGTTCTAGTTTACACATAACAAATTATACACGACATGCATGGAAATGAAATTAAATGTCTGAAAATTGATCGCTGCAAACTAAGTGATTAATTATTTCAAACACAATAAAGAAATCTTTAGGGTCGGGATGTCTTTTTCAAACCATAATGAAGCTAGATAGGCTTTTTTTCCTCTTGCTTTCTCGTTTATTTTGGTCTTAAAATCTTCGCTACGCCCCC